AAAAAAAAAAAAGAAAAAAAAAAAGACAAAGAAGTGCAACTGATTGGGGATGTCCTTCTGCATATACGTTTTTTTTTATTGGTTGATGATTAAGCACTGGCGAATAGAGGCAGGAAGATAGGCGGGTGGAGTTGACGTGGAGAATTCTGGGAAAGGAGGCAGAGGGAGCCCAGACCTCCAAAAGAGAGATGCCATGGAGGGACTGGGAGAATAACATGTGCCAGGTGTTCTCCGGTAAGATAAGACGACGTGGAAATACATAGATTAATAGAAATGTGTTAATCATTAAGACAGAGCTAGCCAATAAGAAGCCTTAACCATTAGCCAACAGTTTAATGATTAACATGTTTCTATGTGTTTATTTGGGGCTAAGAAGGGGGGCGGACCAGGCTAGAAAGAACCTCAGCAACGTGAAATATTGCTGATTAGGTTTTTAGATTTATTTTTTTTAAAAATCCAGGTGGTGGTGGCTCAAGCCTTTAATCCCAGCGCTCAGGAGGCAGAGGTAGACAGACAGATTTCTGAGTTTGAGACTAGACTGGTCTACAGAGTGAGTTCCAGGAGAGCCAGGGCTACACAGAGAAACCTCGTCTTGAAAAACAAACAAACAAACAAACAAACCCTGCTTCACTCACAGAACCAGTTTTGGCAGTTATGGTTTCAAGAGTGGAGTTTCAAAACACCCAGTTATACAACAGCTGCCCTTTGAATAGGAGTTCCACCCACTGTTCCCATTGGGTAAGTATTTGTTTTCAAATGTCAACTGTGCTGGTGAGGGAGTTTTTGGCCAGCTTGTGATATAATACCAGACTTCCTCAAATAATCAATCAGCAGAAGGCTGAAGCAGCATCATCAATAGATAATAATAACAATAATAATGGTAATAATAATAATAGTTTCAGTTAGGAGAATACTTAAGTGGTAAGCATCAATATTTTTGTCATGAATTTTGTTTTTTGGTAAATATCAGTCTTGTTTTCTCAAAATCCAGGATCTTTCCCTAAATGGAAAAAAAAAAATTAAGGTGAAGGGACAGGGAAGGGAAAAGAGGATGAAAGAATGGAATATAATGAAACAGACATGTTCAGAATGCAAGAAACACAATTTGGCTTTCTTCCTGAAGACTAAAGTAGAAAACCCCATTAAGTTCTTTTCCATAATTTACTATGAGCTCCAAAATGCAAAGATTTGGTCCTGGGTGGGGTAAGCCTCCCACCCCAGGCCACCTGCCTACATTCCTTTTTTTCATTAGAGTGGATCTGCAAGACAAAAGCCCCAGCTTCCCAGGCAACGCCTTTGCTGTGGGGCATGTGGGGCAAGCAAGGAGTTGGTGTAATTCACCAATTTACCAGATCCCTAGGTAAAGAAGGAAGAAAAAAACACACACACAGAAAGAGAGAGAGAGAGAGAGAGAGAGAGAGAGAGAGAGAGAGAGAGAGAGAGAGAGAGAAGGCGGTAACTATTCAAGTATCATATGCTCCAAGAGAATAACTAATGTAACAACCTCGCAGCTAAACTCCTGTCTGCATTCTCAGGTCTGCAGAGACCCACTGTGACAGTCTCACAGGCATGAGGTTCAGCTCCCCTGCTCTCTCTGTGCGTCTCTATCCCTCCCTGCCTGCCCCTCTCCCTGGCAAGCGCCTCTCTGCTCTTGCAGTTTGGTGCAAATATGCACTAAATACTTACCCATCTCACCCTCCTGCAGGCGGTGTGTTGTACCGAGCATGCCCACAAAAGCTTCTGCAGGCTGGTCAGCACCCATCTCTGAGCCCAGGAGCTGTGGTTCAGCTACAGGAAGATAGAAACCTAAGGGCTGAGGCAAAGAATACAAGTGCACGTCCTTGAAAGCAGTTGGGCAGTGACTAGCTCGTCCGTTTTGCTTTGCCAATGATCAGCTTACTCCTCCCTCCCCCTTACTCAACCAGCACACACCAGTGTGTGCTTTAAAAAGTGATCTTTGGAAAGCTCCAGGTTTTTAAAATTTAAGAGGCACCAGGGCATAGTCAAAGGATTCTGTGTGCTAAGGATCCAGAGACTGAACCTTTAAGAGATGGAGTCGGAATGGAGAGAGCTGGAGACCTGCAGTGGACACTTCTCAACCTCTCCGGGGATAAGAGCTCGTTAATTCTGGAGCCAGTTACGAGTGAACATAACCCAGCACCACGGATTCAGGCTGTCTCCGATAACACGCTCCAATTTGGAAGTGTTTTTGTCAGTGGTGTGGGGACAGAAAGATAGCTCCCACTGTCACCCTCATCAGTCCAAGAAATGCCTCTAGAGCCTTTCTGATGCGGGGTCCTTCAATACAGTTCCTCCTGCTGTGGTGACCCCCAACCAGAAAATTATTTCATTGCCACTTCACAGCTACAAGCCTGCTACTGTTAGGAATCAGAATGTAAATATTGATATGCAGGCTATGTGATTCCCAGGAAACGGTCATTCGACCCCTGCAAAAGGGTCACAACCCAGAGGTACCCGAGAATCACTGCTCTAGATTTTTCAGGCACCTTTGACTCAGGCCAAACCAAGGTTCATAGCTTTGATGCCAAAAACTTTCTCAGGGCTAGACAGTTAATGAAGCAGACTTGGAGTTTTTCTAAGATTCATCTGTATTATATTTAATTACATTTATATTTATATAAATATATAAATACATATTATATTTAATTATATTTAATTAATTGGGTTTAGAATGCAGGTGCCCCAGAAATGTAGCAAGGGGATATTATCACCCTCAAGAAAAACAGGTGTAGCATTGTTGTTATCACTTAGGAACATATGCCAAGGGAAACTGTAAACATCTTAGAAAGTTCTATTTGGGTGATGGGAATGGTGGTACAGGACTCTGATCCCCAGAACCAGAGAGGCTATGACTCTCTATGAGTCTGAGGTTAGCCTTGTCTACATAGGGAACTCCAGGCTAGCCAAGGCTAAGTAAAAGTGACAATAGTAAAACATTAAATATAAATTATTATGTCATAAAAACATGAGTTAATAGAAATGTAGTCAAAGGGGTTTTGAATTCAGTTATTTGGGGTACTCAACTGTCTGTAGTTGGAGATGAGTGCCACCCAAATTTTCTGATGTCCAAGTATATTGCAGGATATTTGTTTATACTATGTGAAAATATGTCTATGTTTTGCCTAACCTACCTAAGGCACCAGACTGGTTAATAAAAGGCTGAATGGCCAATATCCAGGCAGGAGAGAATAGGCAGGACTTCTGGGGAGAGAGAGGAACGCTGGGAGTAAGGAAGGGAGAGACATCAGTGAGACATGGAGGGAGCTGGACATACAGAATGGAGAAGAGGTAAAAAGCCATGTGGTGGAATAAAGATTAATAAACGAGCTAATTTACAGTGTAAGAGCTACTTGAGAACAAGTAAGCTAAAGAGCAAATTTTCATAATCAATAATGTCTCCGTGTTATTACTGGGGAGCTGGTGGCCTCAAAAGAAAGTCTTACACAAAAGTTCTGTTACACAAGTAGTTCCATCCTCAGACATCAACACAAGTTTGAGGTACAAGGCAAGACTGCAAGAGTCTATCTCCTGAGGTTTCAGAGCACAGCAGGTATTAAAAGTAACCTAACACCATCTTTTCCATCCAGGATGAAGGCAATCTTTGATCAGTGTCTTTTTTAAATAATGAAGTCGCCTGGTTTTGGACCTCATTCATTCATTCATTCATTCATTCATTCGTCTTCAGGAACTCAAGATGGGAGGGAAGACTCTGTTGTGAACCTAGCCTTTCTAGTTATAACGGAGTTGCAAGGTAGGTGTCATGATGATGAGCAAATAGATGATGGAGGAATGGTTGAGAAACAGAAACAGAACGGCTTGTGTGCTGTGGAAAGAGGCAGATCTGCAGAAACAAAGACAGTAGAGAATAGGCTGATGTGGGTGGCCTGCTTGCTGCCCTGGACCAGGTTGACCTCTGGGCCCATATTTCCACAAAAGACCATCCTGCTGCCAGGACCATGCTGATCTGAGTGGCATGTGCTACCACCTGGGGCCATGCCCTGGGTACGGTATAGGACTGTGTCTGGGTTTTTGGCCCTACCACAGCCAGGATCTGTATTGATGTTCACAGCTTCTGTCAACACTGAAAGCCATGCAAATACATGGAGTCTGGGCCATCACTTGAGGCCAGGTAGGGGTCTGAGAGTCTTGCTTGGAGCCACATAGATCTGACACCCAGGGCCTGGGTGACATCTGATCCCTGGCTGCAGCTGAGAACCATGTCTAGGTCCATGGTCCTACTGCAGTTATGGCTTGTGTTGATGTCCATGGCTCCTGATACCACTGAAGGCCACACAGATGCCAGGGTTCTAGGCTGTTACCTGGGATAATATTGGCATCTGAGAACCACGCTGCCACAGGATCCATGCTGACTTGAACTGCCACTCGGGGCAGTGGTGACATCTGAGACTGGGCTGCTATCAAGGACTCAGTGGGTCTGTGGTCCTACCACAGCTGGGATCTGTGTTGATGTCTGTGGCCCAAGTTGCCATCGAAGGCCACACAGATGCCCAGAGTCTAGGCTGCAATCTGTGGCCATGCTAGTGTCTGAGGACTGTGCCACCATCGAAGTCATGCCTATCCTCAGGGTCATGGTGTCATACAGGCCAAGGCTCCTGCCAAGGGCCATGTCTGGGTTTGTGGTCCTGCTATAACTGGAGTCTCTGATCATGTCTGTGGTCCATGTTACCACAGTGGGTCATAGGACCCATACAAGTTGAAATCTAAGGGCCATGGGATAGCTGGTCTTACACATCGATGACTATAGTAGGTGAGTTGGCCCAGGTCATCATAAGAGAGCTGGCCCTCACACTCAGAAGAGATGATCCCACCCCTCATAATGTAAGGACCCCCTCCCCCCGCAGGGGGGGTCTCAGGCCTCCAGGATTTTTTCCCAGGACCCCCCCTACCCCAATCACCATGAGGAGGCAGAAACTTGATGCAAACAGCAAGAGGCTTTAATAAAAGGTAGACGTTTGTACAAATGGGCTCTCTTAGCATGCTGGCTAGAGAGCAGCCCCTTCCCCCAGGCACAGGTGTTTTTAAAGGCAAAAACCACAAGCTTAGGGAGGGGCCTCGACTCTCTGTGCATTGAGTATGTGACCAGAGTCATGGGTTCCTAGGAGGCCCTTTGTCTTGAGGGGAGGCCTGGGAATCAGATGGCCTCCTGACCCCACCAGTTGTAAAACCTGCAGACCTCAGGATGTGCCTGAGCAAATGGTAGCTTTGTTTCATAGGGACCCTTAATT